TTTCCCTAGGACCAGCTAATGAAACATCCCGTAGGCTATGGGACTTCCTTTCTGCTGATAAAGAATTTGTAAATCCAGATGATACAGCTTCAAATATTTTTTGTTTCTCTTTGAAACTTGTCTCTCAGCACTGAGGTATTTAGACTGTATTGTTACTTTAAAAGTCTGGTTTTGAAAAACTAGCCCAGTGTGTGGAGATTTTTAGTGTCTAATTCAAGGAGGTGATGGGGGTTATACTCTGGGTATCTCCTATAGGGTTCTGTCATGAGTTTTGCTGAATCCTGATGATTTCCTTGCCTGAGTCTACTTTCTAGAGAAGCCTCACCTGGAGTTGAAAGTACTCAGGGTTGTCAGGAAAGGCAGGCCTTGCCACAACAGATTCCAGCCTTTCCAGCAGTTCAGAAGTTGCAGCCTGATTTGAGAACTAGCTTAGCAATGCTTCCTCCCTGCAGTGCCTGGGGAGAGCTGAGCTGTGCCTGGGTCTCTGAAGGAATTATTGGTGCTATAAGCTCCAGGTCACAGTGCAGAACAGGGGACATATTTTGCTGCTGGCATGTCAATCTCAAGATGTGGTGAGAAAAAGGCAAGGGCAGAGCAGGGCATTAGATCTGAGTCAGGGTTTGCAGAGAGATCACGGAAGGGAAGATGTGGTGGGGTAGAGGCAGAGAGTGAGGCCCCAGGTCTTTGTTCCCAGGCACCGTCAACACAGGGGCCAACCCTTCATGCTGAGCATTGCAGATGGGTGCTGGATGTCCCGAGTCAGGGAACTGCTGATTTTGCTGTGGGTATTTGTGCAGGGAAAGTGTCTGAGTGAGAGCTGAGTCTCAGCCCTGTCTTGTGCTGCACAGGTCCCCAACCCATCTCCCTCCTTCCCCAGATACCCTGAGACCCAGTAACTTCCAGCAGAGATGCTGGGGAGGGGCTGGTGGTGCTGAGTTCCAGCTGGGCTGGGCTGTGTTGGAGCCAGCCCTGGCACTCACCCACCTCAGCTGGGATGGGGGAAAAGTCAGACCAGGGTCTGTGGGTCCATATCACCTGAGCCCTTCTCCTCCCACAGGGCTCTGTCCTTTCTCAGCTTTCTCCTTTTTCTCTCCCTTCCTCACCATTCCACAAGCTCAGACCCTCAGCTTTCTGACATGGACTCTCACTCATCCAGTGGGGAGGGCTGGGGGCTTTACTCATCCTTGTCAGCTCTGATAAAGCTGTTTGTCTTCCTCTCTTCCAGAAGACAAACATTCTCTGCTGGGAGGTGGGTTTGACAACACTGAGAGCACCATGTATTTCAAGGAGCACAGCTGGTGAGGCTGCTTCTCAGGCAGGCACTTTCCCTGGCTGTGCCCTCAGGCATGTCCCGGGCATCGCCCATGGCCCTGAGCCTGCTACTCTCCCACCTCAGCCCCAGGCACCCCCGGGACACCCCTCCCAGTGCCCGGCAGTGCTGAGCAGGGAGCCCTGCGAGCACAGCTGGCTGTGCCAGGTCCTGCTGCTGGGCTGGATGTACAGGGGGGCAGCCCCAAATCCCTGGGGACCCTGTGCCGAGGAGGTGAGCATGGGGAGTGAGTGGTCCTCACTGGCATTTTCCTTCCTCCCTGCACAAAGTCTCTCATGAGATTTCTGGTTGATACACATTTATAATTTTCTTTAATTTCTTTTTTTTTTCTCTTTGTTTCTCACCTTTTCTTTTACTGTCTCACACACAGTGTGGTATCAAGCATCCTTTGTCATGATCCCATTGAACACTCCCTTTGTCTGAGCTGGAAGCTCCTGACCTGCTCCTTGTCAATGCAAGAACTTGGCCTGCTCAGGGCAGGAATGCTCTCCTCAGAAGGGCAGCATTTCTGAGAGCTGAGACCACTCACCCAGCACTGTGCTCAGCCTTCTCCCAGTTTGAGAAAGGACATCTGCCTTGATCTTTTCACAGAAACAATTTATTTCATATCATGGCACTGGTTTTCCTTGGAAGAGCACAGAGGATCTCAGTTCTAAACAGCTATTCTGGTCATGTTGAGAATCCCCCGAGCACAGGAAAGCAGGATCTCAAAATGTGAGCAAATGCACATGATGTTTGCATTCCAGCATGAGGAAGAGGCAGCTCCATGGGGCAAGTCAGCCCTGTGGTCAGAGGGACTGCTCTTGGGACAAGTGGGTCTGTTGTCTTGCAGAACCCAGGTCCCTTAATTTAGTTTAAGGAGAGAGAAAAATAGACTATGAACAAAGGAAAATAGATGAGATTTGTTTGTTTTTTTTTTTTTTTGTAACCTTTTTAATCAGTAATGTCCATCACAGTTCTTTTACTTAGTGTGGAAATGCAGTTGTTCTGTCACAGGCCTCCTTCCTGGCAAGTCGGGGAAGAAAGAGAAACAAAGCTGTATGGAAAAATGGGAAGAGGAGAATCAGACATCACCCACGAAGTTCCTGCTGAGGGCAATGGGGAATGTGCCCTCACTCCAGACTCCACTCTTCCTCCTGTCACTCATCATGACTGTGATTGGGCACATCCTCATCGCTGTTTTGGTGGTGTCAGAGCAGCATCTGCACACCCCCACGTACTTCTTCTGGGGCAATCTGCCCTCCTTGGAGACCTGCTACAGCTCCACCCTCCTGCCCCGGCTGCTGGCCAGCTTGCTGAATGGGGACGGGACCATTTCTGCTCACAGCTGTATGGCTCAGCTCCACTGCTCTGGCTGCTTTGCAACTGCCGAGTGTTACCTGCGGGCCATGATGGCCTATGATTGGTATCTGGGCACGTGCCAGCCCCTGCTCTATGCAGGCTTCATGACCTGGAAGGTCTGCCTTCAGCTGGTGGTTGCACCTTGGCTATGTTGGTGTGTGCAACAGTCCCAGTCTTCTTATCCCAAATGAAGTTCTGTGGCCTCAGGGCAACTGATCACTTGTTCTGTGACCTCTCTGCTGGAGATTGCCTGCAGTGGCACCAGCGTGGTCACACTCACATCCTTCATCTTGTCTTTCCTGAGCGTTGTCTTCCCCTTCCTGTTTGCTTTTGCGTCCCATGTGTGCATCATAGCTGCCATCCTGAGGATCCCATCCAGCATGGGCAGCAGAAGACCTTCTCTTCCCACTCCTCTCCCCTCATTGTCATCTCTCTTTTCTCCTGCACCGTCCTCACTGTCTACCTGCTGCCCAGAACAGCCCCGCTGAGGCAGCTCAACAAAGTGCTCTCCCTCTTCTGCCACTGTCCTCACGCCCCTGGTCAATCCCCTCGTCTACAGCCTGCAGAACAGGGAGGTCAGGGAGGACCTGAGGAAAGCTCTCAGGAAAGACAAGGCCTGCACTCAGGGTGCACAATAATGTTCCACCTGCAGGGATGAATGCTTTGTGCTTCTGTTTTATCTCAGTAGGGAGGCCTTGGGCAGGCCTATGGTGTCCAATGCCGCAAACATTGTTTTAGTAGGGTGTGATATTGAGCACGTTTGTGGGATGGGAAAGGTCGAGAGGAAGACATTTCCTTTTAGAGAGTTCATAGGATCAGAATCAGAATGGTTTGGGTTCGAGGGGACCTTTAGAGGTCACCTGGTCCAATCCCCCTGCAATGAGCAGGGACATCTTCAACTAGAGCTGGTTCATCAGAGCCCTGTCCAACCTGACCTCGAATTATTCCAGGCATGGGGCATCTATCATCATTCTGGACAATGTGTTCCAGGGTTTCACCAATCTCATTGTAAAAACTTTCTGCCTTATATCTAGTCTGAATCTGTTCTCTTTTAGTTCAATACACCTACACACAGGGCTGTTCAGAGACACGAGTCCTTCCCTTGCACACGCAGAGGCAGTGCACTGCAGGAGCCATAGTGTCTCTCTGAACTCCTGCTGCCACCCCCAGAGGCTGGGAGGCACCTCAGCCCTGCGGTGCTTGCCCTGCTCTGCACCCGTGGGAGATGCCCCGAGGCACGAGGAATGGACACAGGGACCGTGGTTCAGGGAAGCACAACCCAGTCCTGCATTCAGGGGGTTCCCCAGGGGATGTGACTCTCTACATGAAGTGACTTCAATTTACAGTCAGTGTCACAGGCCTTCATGGCACCCCCAGGAATAGCTGATGGATTTTGTGCTCACTCAGATTTATTTCACCACACACACATGATGTGCAGGTTTATGGTTTGTAAAATGCAAAGTTGAACTTCTGACATAATCATTTGGTGTCACTCTGTGGAAGGATAAACAACCTCTCTGTTCTGCAGTGAGAGACCTGTGCTGTAAATGGTGGTTGTTATTGTATGATCTGTGACAATTGTCCTGGGGCAACTTCCCCAGGGTGCCCAGCGCACATGGGCACAGGTTAGTCCCCACTTTGCTGTTCCTTCAGGTCTCTCACAGGAGCCTGGCTGTACAAGAACACTGCTGTGTGCCCCTACCCTGCACACACAGACACACGCTTCCACTCCTCACTGGTGATTTCTCTCCTGGGTTATTTCCTGGGCATGGTCTTGAAAGCAACTCTGGAAGAAGACCTAAGCCTTCATGCACTGCCCAGAGAAGATCCCCTTGTCTGATGGAAATGCTGTCATGAAGGCCAGCTCTGTCACAGAAGTGCCCACTGCCTGTCCCTACCTGCAGTTAAAGGACTTCCACACCGTGGGACGCTGACCACAGCACAAAACCACTCACATCTTAGACCAATACAAGGGCTGACCTGGCAGGTCCAGAGAACGACTTGGAGGAAGGATCTCAAAGCATGTCTCTACAGTGTCCTTTATTTTGTTTAACCACAATGAGAGCATGGATCCTCATTTACACAGACTCTGGTTCACACAAAAGATTGATAGATACTTAATGAGAACAGGAAAAAATAATGACACACTTTTTAGCAGAGAACATAATGTGAAGTAAAACAAAGAAAACAAAAAAAATCAATCCCAAAAGACCCAACTAGAAACTACAGACTGAGATCCTGTATGTAATCAGTTACATTTAGAGTTATCTACAGAAGACACATATTTTATTGTTTCTGAAATTCATCCTGTTACCAGTTTCCTCAGGGCATCCTTGATTTCCTGGTTCCTCATGCTGTAGATGAGGGGATTCATTGCTGGAGACACCACCGAGTACAGAAACGACACCACCAGGTCCAGGGATGGGGAAGAGATGGAGAGGGGCTTCAGGTAGGCAAAAAATGAAGTGCTGATAAAGAGGGAGACCACGGCCAGGTGAGGGAGGCACGTGGAAAAGGCTTTGTGCCGTCCCTGCTCAGAGGGGATCCTCAGCACGGCCCTGAAGATCTGCACATAGGAGAAAAGAATGAAAACAAAACACCCAAAAGCTAAACAGACACTAAGCACAATAATCACAACTTCCCTGAGGTGGGATCCTGAGCAGGAGAGCTTGAGGATATGGGGGATTTCACAGAAGAACTGGTCCACAGCATTGCCTCCGCAGAGGGGTAGGGAAAATGTGTTGGCAGTGTGTAGGAGAGAATAAAGCAATGCAGTCCCCCAGGCAGCTGCTGCCATGTGGACACAAGCTCTGCTGCCCAGGAGGGTCCCGTAGTGCAGGGGTTGGCAGATGGCAACATAGCGGTCATAGGCCATGATAGTGAGAAGAGAAAACTCTACTGTTATCAAGAAGACAAAGAAAAAGAGCTGTGCAGCACATCCCAAGTAAGAGATGTCCCTGGTGTCCCAGAGGGAATTTACCATGGCTTTGGGGAGAGTGGTGGAGATGGATCCCAGGTCGAGGAGGGAGAGGTTGAGGAGGAAGAAGTACATGGGGGTGTGGAGGTGGTGGTCGCAGGCGATGGCGGTGATGATGAGGCCGTTTCCCAGGAGGGCAGCCAGGTAGATGCCCAGGAAGAGCCAGAAGTGCAGGAGCTGCAGCTCCCGTCTGTCTGCAAATGCCAGGAGGAGGAACTGGGTGATGGAGCTACTGTTGAAAAATTGCTTCCACTGGTCATTGGGCACTGTCCATGGAGGAAAAGACATTGAAATGTTAGTGTAGACTTATCTGAGATAAAACCTACTTCATATCTCTCAGTGACTGACTCTCCCTTTTAACCAAGTCCTCCAGTTCTGCTGTGAGCTCTGGACGAGTCAGTCCTGCCAGACAGCCATAGATAAATCGGAACATGTGTGATCACAGATTAAATCCACTCATGTTCAACATTCTGCTCCCAATTCACCTTACTGCAAGGCATAGCTGTGGGGATATTGGGTTTTTTAAACTGTTTTTGTTGCACCACTATACATGAGGAGTGGTTTTAAGGCAGAAATTTATGGTATTTCTGCTGAACTCCTACTGAAACATTGTGTTTCTTGAGAGACCAAGGGGCTGTCCTAAAATTCAGAGTGAGGAGAGTTGCTCTATCCATCAGCCCTGGTCTCATCTGACCTGTGCTGGCACCGCTTTGAGCTGGATGATGGAAACAGGGCACTGCTGGGACTAGAGGAATCCAGTCTCCAAGCCCAGCTCTCCAAAGCCCTCAGCCCCTCTCATCGCACCTGAGGAGGATCTCTGCTCTCCCCTCCCAGCCAGGGACACTGAGGGCTCATTGCAGCTGCCTGTGTGCAGACGCCCAGCAGCATTTCCATGGCCTTAGCACTGAGGTGTTTCCTCCCTGGGGCTGCTGGATAACACAGAGATGCCCCAGGAAAGCTGTGCCCACCTGGAGAGAAACTTGCAGCCCAGCACGAGCCCATCACAGGAAGAGTTGAGTGTCCTAAAATGGAGGTGTCCTGAAGAGAGAATTGGGTCCTTTGTTTTGCCCTGAGCACACAGATTGTGAGGAAACTTTACTCCCATGGACACATCTGCACGGCAGGACCCACAGGGTTGGGCTCAAAACTGTAGCTTAACCCCACCACCCCCCATCCCAGCAAGTCCAGGGATGACAGTAAGGGGAGCAGATACAGGAGGGGGAAAATGGAGAAATACCACACTGCTTGTGTTCTTGGAGGCAGAAAGGGACAGGCATTTGGTATTGGGTAGTTTCCTCCTCTTCAAGGGTGAGGCCGCTGGGAAGGTGCCCCATGACCTTGAGGGCAGAGGCTGTGTTGGACAGGGGGGAGATCAGGGGGTTGTTCCATGGAAGGCATCTGCACTTGAATGGCAGGGAGGTGTCAGAATCCCCCCTCCCACAGCGTTCCTGGCAGCAACTCCCTCTCCCTTCATGTCCATAATCTCTGGTACCTGGAGCTGTCCCTGCCTGGAGCCGCTTCTCTGTCCCTTATCTCCTGTCTGTCAGTACTGCCAGCCCCCATCCCACCCACCCTGTGCTCAGCTCTGCCCTGCGGACCCCTCCTGGCAGCAGGACACTGCCCAGGGACATCTCTCTAGGTGAAGGGGTTCAGGAGCGACTGAGAATGCTAAAGACAACTGATATCTGAGTTATTCCACTAAAGTGGAGAAAAAAATCTAGCAATGCCCACCTGGCCAACCAAGAAAATAAATCTCAAAGAAAGGTTCCTTCCATTTCAAGTAAAAGCAGCCTTGATATCCTTCTTCAGAAGGAACCTCTGCAAAAGTCCTCAGAGTGATCTGCAGCTGTGAGCATCCCTGATCCGTGCAGCAGCAGCCTCTGGAGAGCAGAAGGAGCCTGCCCTGGCGGGGGTCTCTCCTTCCCCCCACAGCTTCTCCCCACAGCGCCGTGGGGAGCTCCCCAGGCAGGCTGAGTGCTGACCCTGGCAGGCAGCAGAGTCCCTGCCCCAGCACACAGCCCCCTGGGGTGCAGGGACCCTGCTGGGAAGGACAGCCCTGGGCACCCCTGCCTGCACACCCGGCTGCACACCCCTGCAGCCGGCCCCGCCAGAAGGCAGCCCTCATGCCCTGGCCCTCACAGGGGGCACCAGGGAAGCCCTGCTCGGGAGCAGATCCTCCTCCTCCTCCTCCTCCTCCTCCTCCTCTAGGCAGGAGGCAGATTCCTGGCCGCTCTGCCGCCTTCCCCAGATCCTTCCCCAAGCTGCAGCTGCATTGCCCTGCACCCCCAGACTTACTGTGGCCAGGGCCCTGATGCTTTCTCCTCCTCGGAGCTCTCAGCAGCCTCCCAGCCCAGGCTGCCTTGAAGCTGTGTGTGCCTCGCTGCTCTACCCTGGGTGCCTGCAGGCAGTGCCCCCAGCCCTGCTGCGCTTTGCAGAGGAGCTGCTCCTGGGCAGAGCTGTCTCTCTGCAGCGCTGCCCACTTGCCAGGAGCTCCCTCTGGCCCAGGAGCCCGGCCCAGCTCAGCACCACAGCAACAGCCCAAGGCAGCTTAATGACCCCTCACGAGGGTTTGGTGCCAACTCCATGGAAAACAGGAACAGAGAAGCTGAAGAAACCTTTGAAGAATTCAAAGTTTTATTCAAACTCCAAAGTTTCCTGCACTGTTAATGGCTCCCACTGAGGACACCATTGACAAAAGCTCCCCAGGGGCTGGTTAGAGCAGAAAACTAGAGAAAATCATGACCGGTAGACAAATGCCATTGTACAGAAGAGATTCTGTGTCAACATGGATGTGTTATGTTAAGAGAAAGGGCAAATTGCTGACCTCCAGCCCCTGGGATGGGAGATCCTGTCCCTCACACATTGCTCAGGACTCTTCCTGGGGTAGTATTCTATGGGGATGAGCAATGCCAAGAGCATGACTACTGTACAATACCTCCCAAGCTCCCAGGGTGGGAAGGGCTGGCAATGATACTCGACTGCTGTACGGATCAGGTGGGATGTCAGCAGAGAGGAGGTGTCTGAAGAAGGCCCCATCTACTTCCTCTTCCTGATCAGGAGATCTGTAGCAGTTATCCACCCACCGCAGTGGTGTCCATGATGTTCTCCCCTCTCATATTGACCCCTCAGCTCCCAGATGACTCATTGTCCATCCCCAGGCAGAGCTAAATGCGTTCCTGCAGCTCCCTCCCAAAGGGCTGCTTCCCCTCTGGGTCCAGACCTACGGCTTTATCAGTACCAGACCCCCAAGAAACCACAGTTCCTCCAGGAGGGGTATTGGCAGTGCCCTGCAACTCCTCGTACTGTTCTCTTGTGAGAGACGCCCCAGTCAAGATGAACCAGCTGCATGCAAGCATTAAAAGCAATATAGTGAGGTGCAAGCCATGCAGGCGGGTTTTGGAGCGCATTGGGAACATCTGCCTGATAAGGGTGACTGAGAAACCCTGTGAGGTGAAGTGCCCTGTGGGACTTCATCTTTACAAAGAAGAGCTGGCCAGGGATGTAACAGTCAGGGATGAGAAGGTAAAGTTGAGGCTCCTGAAAAAAGGGAACCCTTAGATTTTTCCTCTTGTTTCCTCTCCTGTTTTGCTTTTTAATTCTTATTTTTCCCTCTGACAGCGAGAATGTTTTATCAAACTGGTTTTAGCAACGAAGTTGTCACTGACTGAGGAGGAATCTGTTTATAATTTTTCTGTTCTACCTGGCAAAGGTCAACCGTGGATGGAAAGACAGTCTTAAAAACAGAACAATTTTGAACACAGCATGTTTTTCTTTTCTCTGTTGGGCTTTGATTTTCCTTGAAAACCAAACCCTTTCCAGGGAATAAAACTTCCCTCTTCTCTAACTCTCCTGCTTGCCTTTACTTCCCACACACCTCTGCGTTTGTCACCATCTTCATGCCGCCTTCTCCCTGTTTCTGACCTAATCAAAAGGCTAAAGCCACTTCACTGACGTGTTTTCCCTTTCACTACAATACATTTTTGATCAGCCTAAAATACATGTTTAAATAAACTACAGTAAAAACAAGTGAGAAATCCCTATTTTTTCTCCATTGACTGTGAAGTGACTCTTGGAGAAAGAGCTCAAATACAAGATCTTACATACAGTTTACAGTGGATTCCTACTCTAACCCCCATACTAAGTTTGCTCTTAGTGCATAAAATGATGCCTTCTTGTGCAAGTCTAAACAAAATGCACGGGAGATATCTGATAGATTGACGTGCCTCACTCAGGTCTGTCCGGATCTGGCCAGGATCCGGGCATGTCTTAGGAGTTTCAGTTTTATTTTACATTTGGGATTTATAGTTACTTCTTGTTTACTTATAGTTTTCAGGGATTGTTCCCAGGGTTGCATTTCATGCTGATAAGATGCTGTTTGCTTCATGATACTGATAAGATGCTGGTTGCTGGTCGGGGAATTCACTCAGAAGTCAACTTTGGTTTGAGGCCTATTGTTTGGGCCTTTTTTTGTTTCATAAGTGAACAAAGAACTATGGTGATCCACTCCAAACCAAGTCTTATGTTGTGTATCCAGGAGGCTGGTACAAGTTCTGTGGGCTGCCAGGGAACTGAAAACAAAACCAGTTTCAGTCAGCTCAAAGAAATTCTACATTGAAAGTATCTCCTGCTTTTGATTCAGGAGACTGACTCACTGCAAATGGCTTCTGTGGAGACATTTACAACTACCTGAGATGAACTTTTGACCCCCTGAGTTACCAGTGTCACTTTGGTCTGAAGGCCTGGAGAAAGAGTATCTCTGACCCTTCCAGTCCTCAGAAATCCTTGTATCCAACGTAGGCATTTATGGTCTGGATGGTGTACAAGACGGGATGAAAAACTGTCTGGATTAGTGGTCCCAAAGGGTACTGGGGAATGGTCCATACTCTGCCCAAAGTCCAGCTAAACCCAGAACTCTTTGGAAGTCTGCTCTGAGACCTCTCCTCCCCAGTAGCTTTACCAATGACCTGAGAAGTACACAGGATGGACCTCAACAAGTTTCTGGATGACCCAAAACTGGAGGGATGAAGTCAATTTGTTCAAGGGACAGACTGCCATTTCAAGGGAGCTAGACAGCAATGCTCTGGTGTTGGAGGAGTAGGCCAGAAAGAAATGACCTGATCTGTCCTGACAGAAGGAAACATGGGACACACTAACCCTCTACAATGGTGACAGACAGAGGACACTGACTGACTGGGTAGCAACTCTGCTGAAGAGGATCTGCAGAC